GAAAGGCGAGGCGGGAGGAGGGACTGAGGGAGTTCCTGAGTGGAAGAGCCCCGTCTGGCGGGTGCGGGCCCCGCTCCTGTGCCTCCTGGCTCCGTGCGCACGCCTTTGGAAGGAGGTACTCCCGACCCGACGGGCATCCTGTGCGGCGGCGGCGTGTCCGCGGCCCGCACCGCGCTTTCTTCCTTTCCCCGGGGTCGCTCCGCTGCCTCCCTCACCCGGGCATGGCTGTCGCAGCAGCTGGACAACGGTGACATTGGTGAGGACGACGTCGCGCTTCGACATGGCTTCCTAAGGTCTCATGGCCTAGCTGCCCCGGGACCCGCCGTGATGTTACTGAGATGCTGAGCGCCCGGTGTTCTAGGGCCCGGAGCTTCTTGCGTGACGTCACAGTGTCCAGTGACGTCACAGACGGGGCCGCGCGTGGGCTGGAGACGCAGGGGAGCCACTGCCAGCTCCATCCCGGTCTAGGAGTGTGACGTGGCCACCGTTCCAAGGCCACCCGCTGGCTCCTGCAACCGACTCCAACTTCTTACCCTGGTCCTCAAAGCTCCCTCTCTGTCCCCCCTTGGCACACTGTCCCATGCTGTTCCCTGACCTCCTGTGGATATCTGCCTCAGCTGTTTCTTAGGCCTGGGACATCCTTCCCAGTCTTCCTTTGGCTGCTGCTTGGTTTCTGTCAGATGTCACCCTTTAGGAGAGGCCCTCCTGGACTCCCCATCTAAAGTCCCTTCCTTTCTGTCACAATCTGCCACCCAATCTCTACCCATCTTCCTGGAAGCCCTCTCTGACTTCCCCATCCCGGCTTGGGCTGGGAAGCCCTCTGGTGTCCCAGTGTGCACCACCACGCTGTGGTCCACTCCGTATGTTTTCCTCCTAGCACACGTCTCTCAAAATCATCTTGCTCATTCGTTTACTTGCTAATTCTCTCTGCCCACTACAGTGTGAGCTGTGAGGGCAGGGACCCTGTCTGTCTCGATCACGTCTGTATCCCATCAGCTAGAAGGACGCCTGGCACTTAGAAGGTGCTCACTCAATAAACACGAGTGAATACATAAACGTCACCAGGTTTCTCCTGACCCCCAATCTCAAAGCAGCCCCCAAGCCGTATCCTCTCCCAGCTCCCTGGTCTTTTCCTGGGAGCTTGGCTTGCAGTTTGTCATGATCTGGTTACTGGGTCATGGGATCCATGTCTCCCCATCGGGCTGTAGGCCCCCCACAGGGCATGGATTCCTGCCTGGTTGGCTCACCACGGCGCCTCCAGCACGTGGAACAGTGCCTCACACAAAGCAGACTCTCCATAAACGTTTGCTGCGGTGTGCCGTCCAGTCCATCTGACTCGCAGCGACCCTACAGGACAGAGCAGAGCTGCCCCATAGGGTATCCAAGGCTGTAATCTTTACGGAAACAGAGCGCCACGGCTGGTGGGCTCCAACCACCGACCTTCTGGTTAGCAGCTGAGTGCTTAACCACTGCACCGCCTGGGCTCCTCTCTAAACGTTTAGGGAAGAACAGACAACATGGCTCCCCTCTCCCAAAGCACTGAGGGTGGAGGCTTGCCTTGCACGTCTGTGACTCACAGCAAAGCACTGTCACCTGCAGGGCCAGTTAACATGCAGCTCTGACCAAGGTTTAGGGGCATGAGGGTTTGGGCCAGGAAGGAGTCATCATCCTTGAGCAAGAGGTGGAAGCAAGAAGGGGCAGAATGACACAGACATAACCTTCTCCTTCCTCCAACCTCCATGGGAACTTAGTTTGCCAAGCCTCTGCCATGAGACAGGAGGGGGAGGGGGACTCTCCTGCTTGGATCACCCAGAAGAGGTGGAATTGAAAATAACGCTGGGTGTACCCAGAACCTGTTGCCATCGAGTTGATTCCGATTCATAGCGACCCCAAAGGACAGAGGAGAACTGCCCCATAGGGTTTCCAAGGAGCGGCTGGTGGATTCAAACTGCCGACCTTTTGGTTAGCAGCTATAGCTCACCATAGCTCTTAACCATTGTGCCACCGGGGCTTCCACTGGGTGTACAGATGGGGAGATTTAAATGAACCAAGACCAAAAACCAGATGATTAGTTTAAAAGAATGAAGAGAAAGGGACAAACTTTTAACATACATCATCAAGGGAAAAAAGACAGCACAAACAAAACTAGCATTGGAAAGGGACTGACTTTATGCAACCTTGCCATCATGGATTTGAACATTTAGATGAAACGAAAAATTTTCTTGGAAAATACAAAGGATCAAAACTGGTACAAGGAGAAACAGCAAACCTGACCGGAAGAATTACAAGAGAAGAAGCAGAAAGAGACGCAATCTGTCATCCTAAAGGTTTCAGATCCAGGTGGTTTTATAGGCAAGATCTACCTAGCCAGCAGGGAACACTTCTTTGCCATTCTGTACTACTGCCACAGATCCTAACCAAAGCTGGGAAACGTGGCGGCAGCTTCCACGTGGAGAGGCTCTTCTGGTCAGCAAGCACGCCGTGTGGACTTACGCCCAATCCTTCTTTGGCGTACTTTGGGGAGGGGCTGTAATGGCTCCCGCTAGGAGACCAGCATAACCATGTGACCCAAACCAGCAGGGGACAGCACAAGAAAGGACAGCTTCAGGCCAGTCTCAGTTATGAGGCCAGATGCCAAAGAACTGAATCAAACAGTGGCACAAACAGAAGTGGGGAGGCTGAGGGAGAGAGACTGAAGCTGACAGAAGATGGAAGATGAGGCAGAGAGAAGAGTGGGAAAAAAAAGATGGGAGTACATTTCAGAAGGAGAAACCCCACCTTTCAGTCTCGGGGTGGATTAGGATTCTGAAGCTCACACCCACCCTTCCCCACCCAGTGATCTCCTGGCACGGGAACTCCCCATTGGACACTGGACAAGGTCAGGATGGCCACACCTGAAGTTGCCTTGGGATTTGGCTTTGTCCCTGGAGCCTGGAGCTGGGAAACAGGTTTGATGAGCTCAAGCCTGTAGAGGTGGTACAATTAGTCAGCCTCTGTAGGTAGGGCCTAGAGAAGGCAGAAGCTCCTGGTCTCTGGGCCTGGGATGCCTGGTCCTAGGTGGAGTCAAGTGTCCAGGATCTGGGGTGGGGCCCTGGGTCCTCTGAGGGGAGTGGGCCTTGCTGCCCTTTTTTGCAAAGCCTGAAAACATGCAGATTCTCAGCGCCCTTGGGCAACCACACACAACTCTGCCGCCCCCACTTGCTCACACCCTATGCATTCCTTTCTGTCTGGCCTTCCCACCAGCAAACCCACCCTAGCCCCTCTCCCAGTCTCTCTCCTTGGCACCAAAACCCACATATCTTTCACCCCTGCACCCAAATGAACCCACCCACAGGCTCTTGTTCTTCTGGTCTGAGCCTCCCTCCAAACTAGCTCCCAGATGCTCCGCTGTAGACCTACCAATCATGACCCACCCTGCCTACTGATGGCCCTCTCCGTGCTCTAGGCCAAACTCTCAGCTTGTTTTCCCTTCCAAACTGTGCCAATATGACAACACTTGGGGTTTCAAGTTGGGGCCTCCTAAGCCCCTGAGAGAGAGGAGAGCAGGAAGGATGACTTCTGGGCCCAAAGCCCAGTTCTGGCTCTGGCAGTTGGCTGCTGCCCTGGGTCTTTGGCCCTCCCCGTGACTGCCTCAACCGGCTTTTCAGGAGACACTGCGTCCTGTCCCAGCTCATGGCAATCAGCCCCCTGCCCTTGCGCAAGGGCTGGAAGGCAGGAGTCCTGGGTTCTGTGAAGAGAATAAGATCCTTGCTCCAAAATCTGCAATCCTCCCCAAAGGACCCTGTGTTGTTTTGGGGACCCAGGCACCCTTCCCTCCAGTCTTCCATGAGACTAAGACTCAGGCTTGTCTTCTCTTCCCTTGGCTTCTTTTAACCCATCCGTTTGTTCAACCTGTAAATATTTACTGACCCGCAGGCAATGTTCTAGAAGCTGGGGATACAGCAGTGATTAACACAGACAAGTGCCCTGTCCTCAGGAAGTTTACAATCTGGTAGGTGAGACGGACATAAAATATAAAGGTAATTTCAGATGGTGGTAAGTGCTATGAAAACACGAGGATGATATTACGGAGTATAACTGAGGGGTGGGTGGTCAGGAAAGGTTTATTTTGAGAAGATGACATTTGAGCCAAGAACAGAATAAGGAGGAGCCAAAACAAAAAAAACCTAACCCGTTGCTGTGAGTCGATTTCAACTCATAGAGACCCTATAGGTCGGAGCAGAACTGCCCCATAGGGTTTCCAAGGAGCACCTGGTGGATTCCAACTGCCAACCTTTTGGTTAGCAGCTGAGCTCTTAACCACTACTCCAGGAGCCAGCCACATCAAAATATGGGTTCTGCATTCCAGCTAGAGAGAACGGCAAGTGCAAAGGCCACAGAACATAAAGCAGGAATGAGCCTGGTGTATTGAGGACTAGGGACAAGACCCATGTGGCTGGAGCATAGTAAGTAGGGATATGAGCGTGTGGAGTATCAACATGAACACCAAGAAAAAGATCTGACGACTCCCTCAACTCCCCTAGAGTACCCTCTGCCTCCCCTCAACTGCCCCCCATCCCCTTCCAGACTCTTACTGCTGGGGAAGCTGGATGCTTAGATCCCTCAAGAAGGGTGAAGGTGTTAAAAGAACCAGGCCTGGGTCCCAGGGATGGAGGGAGATTGAAGGTGGAGTTGAGAGAGAGGAGGCCTGGACAGTGGGTGAGGAATGAAAAGAGGAGGTGATTGGAAGGGCAGACACCTAGGCTCTGGGGTGGAGGGCCTGAGCAGGAAAGGAGCAACAATGCTGGTGTTTTTCTCCATTTATGACTCATCCTCTCCTCCTCCTTCTCCTCGTTGCTCAACCCCGATCTCCCTGGGAAATACCTCCTTGACTGGGGAGCAAGTCAGTGCCTCATAGAGGTAATTGAGTCATGAGGGGTGGAGAAGAGAGAGGGAGGCAGAGGATAAATAGAAGCCTTGCTTCCCTGGCTCCTCTCTGAATTCTTCTCACCTTCCCAACAATATGCATCCTGCCATTTTGGTCAGATCCTGCTCCCTCGTACTGCTACTGGGAGCCCTGCCTGGGTGGGCAGACAACAATGACCCTATTGAGAAGGTCATTGAAAGGATCAACCGAGGGCTGAGCAATGCAGAGAGAAAGGTGAGCAAAGCCCTGGAAGGCATCAACAATGGAATCACTCAAGCAGGAAGAGAAGTGGAGGAAGTTTTTAATGGACTCAGCAACATAGGGAGCCAGGCTGGCAAGGAGCTGGACAAGGGCATCCACACTGGCGTCGGACAAG